GTTGTTCAATTGACATTGCCGGGGTTTGGCTTGACCGGGGCGGTTACAGCAACACGTAGAAGCTAGGTGTGTGATACAAGGTTGTACCGTAAGTGTTGTGTTCCAGGGATGAGGTGTTGTAGCTTTGACAGCAATGAACTGAAATGAACTGAACATTGCCATTTGCATGCTAAGCTCAACACTTCATGTCAGTGTGCAGATTGGTATTTGGTGGATTTTATTCGTTGCACAGCTGAAGCGGCCAAGGTTGCTTGTAGGCACGTCGCTTTCTGCGCGTCCCTGCTCCGACCCTAGTAACGTCGTTCACATGGGGTTCCGAAGAAAGCCTGCTTTAGATCCAAGTGTTTGTCACAGTTTGTGGGATACGTTCAAGTCATCTTAAATGATGCACATGGCATTTGATGCTGCATTGACTGTTCGGTGCACGTGTTTGACACGGCGCAACAGTAAGGCGTCGCTTCACTTCAGGAAATCTTTGGAGCCAGTCGGAGAGGCTTCACAGGCCCAACGACCGGCACTTTGAAGCCTCCAATGAGCAGTATATTATATATATACACCTGTCTTTTGATGGGTCAAGTCCCCTCGCATCCTGCCAGTCCTTTATATATATATAGATAGATATAGATATTATAGATTAGAAGGTTGGTTTTTGGTCCTGACACTTCCACACCCCACTCTTTTGGGGTTCATTTCTTTCCTCGAGTGGAACACACGGAAGTGAGGAAGTTGGACAGAGAAGTGGAACGAGTCCTTCTTTACATTGCCCCTTCAATAAATGTAGGTGACCTACGGCCATCAGCGCTACTACGTTGGAGGTCACTAGATATCATTCATGTCGCCGATGATTTCTACATATTTATACTGTTTCCCGGCCAACACCGGTCCATGCCATGTTAATCAAAGGTGCCTGTCGAAGGGAAGGGACTGAAGGAAGCTGAAGGAAGAAAGGCAATGAAAGCCAAGGAAAGTAGGGCATTCACTGAAATTCATCGCAGCGCTACACAAAGCTTAAACAACCTGCAGTGTCGTGCAGGCCCTAGCCATTCGCCTCAAAAGGCTTTGCCGGTGCTCCTTGGCTGTGGGGCAGTGAGTTGGTTGCAGGCGCCCTGATCAAAGAGACCATGTTGGCATGCTCCTTAGGAGGAGTCTCAAGAAGTTGAGGGATGTTTCTTGGATGAATAGGATTTTCATTGACAGAGCGTGCTTCCGGTTGTTCTTGTGAAAGATTTGTTTGCTAAAGGTCTGACAATGTCAGCACATACCAGAAGCTACGTCGATCAAGACTGAACCCTTTCGTCATGCTCCCTTGCAGAAATCCATGGAGAGAGTCCTGGAAAGGTGTCCTTTTTAGGCAATGTTGGACCTTCGGTGTTTGCCAATCAGGGAACCCGGAGCTCGGGCCTGGGATCTTCGCTGAAATGGCTCGGGGCATTTGGTGCCTCTCCATTGGTCCTGCTGCTTCCGCCGTGCATCACTTGGATTGATGTGGATTGCAGACGTGGATGGCAGAACCAAAGATATCTACCCGGAGAACCATGGCAAATCGATGCAGAATCATGGCCTGCCAGTCCAACACACGTCGAAGTCAGCACATTGTCAAATGTAATTAAACATCTAGCAACAGCAAGCATTTTGGTAAGTTTCCAAGGCTCTTCTACGTTGAGATGGCTAGAAGACAGGCATATCCCGAGATCAGGGTCTCACGACCAGTTTTTACTGGTATCAGATCCGATGCTGATGTGATTTCTGGTAGCACTGGTTACCACTATCTTACTTGTTTGCACTTGTGAAAGAAAGAATGCTCCCGATTCCAGCTAGTATGGCGCGTGATGTATATTCTCTTGAACAAAGTTGACAGAGTTCACGGTGTTGCTGGAGAAGAGGTAGACCGGTTGCGAAGGCAGGCTTGTTGTAAGTCCAAACCTCGTTGCTTTGCAACAAAATCAGAAGGAGCTAGAGATCCTGTATAGCCCCAGCAATCTATTGGTAGCTATGTTGCTTTTGCCCAGGGTGGGCGTCCAATGCTGAGCCCAGAGAATGCCACTGCTCTCATACCGGCAGCCTTGGGTGAGGAAGCCCGATTGTGCAGTAAATGTTCAGGCCCAGGTGGTGAGAAGCAGCTGTCCTTCCGAACTGTCATAGCTGTCCTTCCGGACTGTCGTGAAACGATTCACTTTTTGTCGTCCACAGCGCCTGGTTTGCAATACTACCATGCTGCCGAGGCAGACTCTGGCACACAGCTGAAAAGAAGAATGGGACTATTTGAGAAATGATGTGAGTCATAATATGAGCTGGTAAGCTGTGCACTTCTTTGAACCGAGGTCTCTTGTTGACAATTAGTGCAATCTTTGAGATCGTATCCTCGTCAATGAGGCGCCGCTTTGGATTTTGCTAGGTCTGCTAGGTTTAGGTTGAGAGTCGAGGTGAAAGAAGCTGAATGAATGAAGGACTCTGTCAGAACTTGTGCCAGGTTCACGCTGTACATGCACTCGTCACTAAGGATGTTTGGTGGTTCTATATATAATGATAGTTATACAAAGGGTATGCGGTGCACAATCCTTGCAGCAAGGATCCACTTCCACTAGCTGTTTGTTTTTCATGTCTAGATGGGGGGCACGTTCTGATCCGTTACCTAAGCACAGCACACAATGATCACAGCACTATTTTATTTGTACCGAAAACCTTTGCTTGGGGTCCAGAATCCTTTTCAACCACCTAGAATCTGGTTCGCTTTATCCAAGAACCACCTCCTCCAACCTACCAGCCATGGCCTCCAACCTAAGAGCGATGGCCTCCAACCTAATAGCAAAGGCCTCCAACCTAAGAGCGATGGCCTCCCCTCTAATAGCAATGGCCTCCAAACTAATAGCGATGGCCTCC